ATCTAGAGCGTGTGATGCTGGGATTAAGGGTTTGTGATTATTAAACCACACATGATTATTAAACTACACATGAGTGATTGGTTTGGCACCACCCTAATCTCAGTAGTCGGAATAAGATAAAAGGGGCAGAAAGATGCTGTTAAGATCTCTTTTTGCTTTTGCTGTCTTCCACCACCATGAACTGTTGCCCCCCTCCAATGTGCCACTCTGCCTTAGAGCCAGCTGATTATGGACTAACACCTCTACAAACTGTCAGCTAAATAAACCCTTTCCTTTTTAACTTTGGGTGTTGGGTATTTTGTTTCAGCAACAAGAGAAAAGGTAATTAAGACAGAACATGACTGGAAAATTGGTGACAAAGATATCTGGGGAAGAGGTTGTGGACAGACCTCTCTATATGGGCAAAGGATGCAAAAATATCTGTATCCCATGTAAACACTCACCAAATAGTGATCTCAGCATAAGAGGATTTTAACAAATGGATAGGATGACCCATTCTGCAGATAGCTGTCAATCTCTTTCTTCAGCCATCCCTGTCATTGTCCAATGAGATCATGAACAGAGTGGCCACACTGGCAACGATGGAAGTTATACGTGGGCTCAGCAACATAGACTCCCACTCAGCAAGGCTGATCTGGCTACAGCTACTGCTGAATGCCCACTATGCCAGCAGCAGAGACCAACACAGAGTTCCCAAATATGAAACTATTCCCTGGGGTGGTCAACCTGTGACCTGGGGGCTGGTTGATTATATTGGACCTCTTCCACCATGCAAAGGACAGTGCTTTGTCCTTACTGGCATAGATACTTATTCTGGATATGGATTTGCCTTCCCTGTATGTAATAATTCTACCAAAACTACCATCTGTGCACTGACTGAATGCCTTATCCACTGTCATGATATTCCACACAACATTGCCTCTGACCAAGGAACACATTGTATAGCCAAAAAATGAGGCAGTGGGTTCATGCTCATGGAATTTATTGGTCTTACCATGTTCCTCACCAGCCAGAAATGGTTGGATTGATAAAAGGGTGGAATGGTGTTTTAAAGACACAGATATACGGCCCGGGGATATAGCTCAGTGGCGACGTGCCTGTTTGGCAAGTGAAAGGTCCTGAGTTCAATCCCTGGTACTGAAGGGAAAAAAAAGACACAGATACAGCACCAGCTAGGTTGCAATAGCTTGTACGGTTGGGGCAAGGTTCAAAGCTGTATACGCTTTGAATCAGCATCCACTACATGGCACTGTGTCTCCCATAGCCAGGATTCAAAGGTCCATGAGTCAAAGGGTGGAAGTGGGAATAGTACCACTCACCATTACCTATAGTGATCCACTAGCAAAATTTTTACTACCTGTTCCCACAACTCTATGCTCTGCTGGTTTAAAAGTCTGAGGTTCAGAGTAGGAAAGACCTGTACCAGGAAGCACAACAATGATAACATTGAACTGGAAGATAAGACCTCCCCCTGGTCATTTTGGTCTCCTCATGCCTCTGAGGAAACAAGCTAAAAAGAGTTACATGTTGGCAGTGGTGACTGACCCAGATTATCAAGGGAAATTTGGACTACTATTCCACAATGGGAGAAAGAAAGAATATACTTGGAGTGCAGGATATACCCTAGGGTATCTCCTAGTATTACCGTGCCCTGTTATTAAGATCAATGGGAAACTACAACCCAGTGCAGGCAGGATGACAAATGGATCAGAACCTTCAGGAATGAAGGTATGGGTCACCCTATCAGGAAAAGAACCAAGACCTGCTGAGGTGCTTGCTGAAGGCCAAGGGAACACAAAATGGGTAACAAAAGAAGCTAGTTCTAAATACCAGCTATGAGCCTGTGATCAGTTACAGGAATGAGGATGATAATTACAATAGTTCTCTCCTAATATGATTCCTATGCAATAAGCTGATAGACTTAATATTGCTTCTTGAGTAATGTAAAATGTATGTTATAATGTTCCAGTTATGAAATGTTAGGAGTAAGCATCACCAAAAGAAAACTTGCCTTCTATTCCGGGAGGCAGTTAGTACATTTCCATTTGTACACAGAACAGTAGTACCATGGTAGGGGTAATTACGAACTTGTCTTTGTATCTGGAGACTATGATTTACGGAAATGTGTCTGGTTGTCAAGTTGACAAGGGGTGGATTATGATAATTAACTGACAGTGTCAATCTGAGTAAGAAATGTCCAAATAAATTGGATTAGCATAGTTTTGGGTGTGGCTGAAGGGATTTACTAAAGATGTGCCGGGATTTACTGGGTGTGAGTGACAGCAACCAATAGGCTTGCCACCTGAATGGTATAAAAGGGAAACCAAGAAGGAAGGCTCACTTCTGTTCCTTTGGAGAAGCTCCAATCTTCACCTTAGACATCTCCTGGCTTCCAGCACAGACTCTTCATCCTTCTGGTGCAGAACCTTCTGCCTCTTGATACGGACTCACACAGGACACTACAGTGAGCTCCAAGCCTTCAATTGGATCCTTCAGATCTCCAGTACACAGACAACCCTTTTGTACTTTTCTGATTCTGCAGGTAGCCACTGTAAGTCAATCTCATAAATTCTTACATATTTGTATATCTTGCATTAAATCTATTTCTCTAGTAAGCATGACTGATATAATTACTAAGCTACGATCTCCTATCAATGATTTCAAAATTGAAAACACTGTGACAAGTGAAGCTGTTTCTGAGTAAGTCAGTAGCAGATAGGACTTATGATAACAAAACCTGACAAAGGCTATTTGAGGTTTCATTATTCCATCAATTATTAACATTAGCATCTTAAGCTCCAGAACTAATAGCATACTTGGTTAGAGACAGCTGGGGCGTGACACACAGACACACATGGGGTTGATATTTCAGATTGTTTGCTTCATTGCACAACAATGCAAATACTGTTGATCTAAACTCTGAATAAGTCTGATTCCAAGCACATCTCGTCTAAAGATCACTGTAAACAAGAAGTGAACCCATATAATCACCAAATGTGATTAATAATGCAGAAATGTATTTATTGAAAAAGGGACTATCTGACTCAAGAATTAAATATAATCATCAGTAATAAATAGGATGTTCTTACATCTGACCAGTATACAGAGATACCTGTTCCATACACCAAGTACACATGCCACACTGCCAGCTCCAGAGATGAGTGCTCTGCTCTCCAGTCAAGGAGTCCAAGGCCTCTGGTCACTCTTGATAAGACGCTACAAAACTGGGTAAAAAACTATGCCAGCAAACATGACCAGGTTTTAGGTTTGGGGCAATGATAAAGTAATACCACATATTGCCTACCAGATGTGTGAAGTTTCACAATACAAATGTAAATTAGTTTTCATATAGTTTTAATAAGTTTATTCATGCTGAGGGGACCTCACTAATCTTCAGACATTCTAAAGCACTATCTGAGCAAAATGAGTGTAGTTTTCATACAAATGATAGAAACAAAATTAAAGAAGGATTATAGCTAGCACAGATAAAAAGTACTGCATACAGTTGTCATTGCCACCCATTCCTGTTATACCATGGTGCAGGACAAATCCCCATGTTATCGCTCTAAATTAAGACTTCACATTTAAATTCTTTATTTGTACATGAATTTAAATACACAAGCTTTTCAATTAAGCAAAACTCTATAGACAACTCTAAGATTTAAAGTAGAAATTTTTTGTGGGTATTTGGAAGATTTAAAGATCAAGGCACTTTCTTAATGTAATGATTTCTTCATTAGGATTCATAGTTGTATTTACCATATACTTTATTTTCAATTTATAACATATAACTAAATAATTCAGTTTCTATAAGAATCAGTTTCATATTTTTACAAAAGTAACCCTAATTCAATTTAAGGTTCTGAAATTTGGAATATCCATTGGTCACACCAGATTCTTTCAAGTTTTGTGACTTTTCACATATTGATCTCCCATCCAGAAAGCCCATCCCATATCATCTTTCAAGGCTCAGATGGAGCCTTCAGAGGCTGAGGCAGGAAGACTACTGTGAATTTGAGGCAAGTGTGGGTTACATAGCAAGACCATGCTCAAAGAACAAAACAAAACAAATCCTCCCAAAAAGTCAAGGCTCAGATGGAAGGTGCCTCTCTTGGAGCTCCCTCAACTCCTCTAAATAGGATTATTCAACTTTTTTTCTTTGTGTCTATTAGACTTCTTACATAGTAACAATCATGCTGTAATAATTATTCTCACCTATCTACTCACTGGGCAAAAGAATGATGATATAATCTTTGTTTCTATCACAGAATTGGGAGCCAATGTCTCTCCTGAATAAATATGTGAATGAATGAATAATCTATATGGTTAGAGTCATCATAAGGTTCATGCTGTACTCCAATATGACCATTTGGTAAAGAAAAAAATGTTAGGAGATACCAGATCTTGGAAGGCAGAAGGCCTGAAGCAGATAATGTTAGACAGATGGCAGAATTTACAACCCACACCCCAGAATCACTCCAGCTGGGCTGTGCACACTGACTTGGGATGAAATGCTGTTAGCTGGGAAAAACCCAACAGAAAGGGCGGCTCTGGCAGCTTGCTTTTTATTTCAAGTTTCTGCTGGCTATTGCATCCAAATGAAATAATTGTGAGTCCATGATACAGGCTTAAAGACCAAGATATTTTTATAAGAAAAATGTAAACTTATTAAGAAAATACTGAAGTTCTGTGTTCCTCAAACTATGTGTATAGGACCCACCCCCACAAGAGACTCTGTAGGTCTGGTGGGGCCTGAGATTCTGCATCTCCCTCAAACTCCTGGGGGAGGCTGATGATCTGTGAATCACAATGCAGTTGACACTGTTGGAGTAAGAGATAGGCATATGTCCTCTACAGTCCAGGCTGGACTTGTCTTGGGTTTTAATTGTCATATCCTTATTAATATTCCTTGCTATAAGCTGAGGATGTTAATTATATAAAGCACTACTGGAAATTTGATTTTAAAAGTTTATTTTAGAAGATTTTAAAATTGTTCTTACCTATGCTCTGGTAATGCCATCGAAAGAAAATTCGTTCAGGTAGAAACTGCAGTATTTTCTGTAAAATAAGAAAAAAATAAGATATAAATAAAAATACATATTTTCATTATAGGCCTATATTATAATATGTGTTTTAGTAGATAAAAGAAAAACTATACTAACATAAATATTGTATTTGTAATACATGTATAATAACATAATGTAATATTATTCATGCATTCCCATGGGATGGTTTCTTTTACTTTGCTTTCTTTCCTGAATGTTTTAAATAAATTATTATCTAAGTTTTAATTCCCCCAATGGAAACAGGAGGCAAAAGAAAAGAAGAGAAAAAAGTATCATTCTATCTTGATTAAATAAGATTCATCACTTAAATACTAAAAGAATAATTTCCAAAATGCCAGATTCACCTCTTTTTTACCTTCTTCCCATTTCTGTTATAATCATTATTAGTTCCCAGACAAAGTACACAGTCTGGAAGAAAGACAAACAAAGAGAGGACAAGACCAAAAACAATGTAGGGGGTGATGGGGAGTGAAGTCAGTGGCAAGACCTTTGTGAAAGTAAAGGCCTAAAAGCACAAGTCTCAGGATTACTGTTATGAACAGCCCCACTGGCAGATAAAGAACACATTTATGATGTACAGAGTATTTAATTAATGCCACTACCATCTACACCTGAGAAAACCCTAGCCAATGAGAATGACTTTTTTCCTCACTCTAGAACAACTTTGGCAAGTTATACTTAGGTAGTAAGATTTTTTTAGACTTTGGCTGCAACTACATATTTTTAAAACATAGAAAATCTCAAAGCTCATCAAAATACATCTGTTAGTATTGACAATACTACTGTACAATGAAAATCACCATTCTAGGTTTAGCTAGCCTAATATTCTAATGTTTAAAGAAACTAAGGTCAAAAGTATATATTCTGACCTCCTGAATAATACACTTGCAGGCAGCTAACAGATACTTCCTGTGCAGAGCCAGCCCAAGTCTGTGTGGTCTGTTCCCCAGTCTTCACTTGCCAAAGGATCAGTGACATACACATGCACTCGCCTCCTAGACAACAAGGGGACGCAGCTACTGGAGCCCCTGCTGGGTGAAGCCACAACAGGTAAATGTCCATCCAACATAAGTGACTTCAGGTGACAAAACCTTTCTGCCCACAACCCTGCACAGTGGCAGACCCCACTTCAAATGTCATCTCCTCAGGGAGGCCTTTCTGCATGCTGTTCTGGACTGCCCTGCTCTCTTCATACTCCTCCACTCGGGATCAAAGGACCTGCTCACCAGCTCACCTTGGGACCACACAACCTCTACCAGAGCACGAGAAGCCCCATGAGGGCTGCACTTCTGTCAGCCCCTGGAACAACCCCACACCTACAGGATTTCTGTTTGGCACAAAGCAGGTGCCCAGTGAATACTCAGCAAACAAATTTTAAATTCTTTTAACTTGCAAAATCGTGAAATCTACAGGTGATCGTAATCTCTACAATGGTCCCATCTTCACATCAACATAGAATGTATCCCATCTTTCCTTGTGGTATCATTGGCTTAATGATGTTTAACTCCAAAATTAGTAAAGAAAACCAAAACAAAAAGTCAAAGCTATATAATTTAAAACCATTCTTTCAAGATGCTAGACATGATATATAAACGTACTTAATTACAAAACTTATTAAGAATTCCTCACATCTACAAGGATGAAATGCTATGCAAAGTGTATCAAGGGTCATTTCTTTTCTTTTCTTTTCCAGTACCAGGGATTGAACTCAGGACCTTGTGCTTGCGAGGCAGGCGGAGTGCCACTGAGCTAAATCCCCAGCCCCTCAAGGGTCATTTCTGATTACCTGCATTAAAAGCAGGACACAGCTGATCATATGCTGAAAATCACTAAACTGATTTTTCTCCATTCTCTTTCTTGGAGAAAGCCTCCATTTCAGACTTACTCTAGAATTTTTTTTTTAATTTTAAAAATTAATTTCATTTATATTTTAAATTTAAATTTGTTATTGACAAATAATAATTGTACTTATCTGTGAGGCAAAAGTGATGTTTTGATATATGTATACCTTGTGGAATGAAACTATCCAGCTAATTAACATATCCATCACCTCACATACTTGTCATTTTTTCTAGAGAGAACATTTAAAAATCTATTCTTCCAGCAATTCTAAAACATAAAATTCATTATTTAATGCTTAACTGCATGCACCTGACATGGGACTCCTTTTACCCCAGCACTCAGACCAAAACTGCTCAGCTCCCAGCAATGGCAAGGAGCCTGGTGGCCTTAGCCCATTAGGTAGAACTGAGCAACACAAGAATGAAAAGCAGGAGGTCAGCTGACAGAGGAATCCTCTTCTCCAGACGATGAGGAGGAGCATGTTGTGGAGAAGAATAAGGGGCACGCAGAGTCTGCCATGTGGAAAGGCTTTTCCAAGGAAAAGTATAAGAAGATGAAGGAGGGTAAAAATAACAAACGCAAAGAGAAGTCAGACAACAAGAGGAAATCCAATTTCTTAAACAGTGCTGATGATATCAAAATAATAATGATGATGATAATTGAATCCAGAGCAGTGATATGGCCCAGATTCTGGGAAAGGGACAGTGGAGGCAGACCTGGTTCTTGCAAAAGAAGCTAATGTGTGATGTCCACAAACCGTGATAGCGTTTTATAAGAGACTGATCTGGCATCCAAATCTTGAGGATGTGGAGAACAAAGAGAAAGAATCAGCAGAGCTAAAGGAGTGGGAGTCTCTGCAATTTCTCTTTGTATGCCTCTTCTCCCTTCTGCCCAACCCCTTCTACCCTAAACATATCCACAGACATACGCTTATCACTAGGCTCCACTGCCTCTAGCCAGCCTCTCATAACTAGGAATCTACTCTCCTCTGCTCTAAGCTAAACTTAGATTCCACACAGAAGTGAGGTCCTACAGCATCTATCTTCCTGTGCCTGGCTTTTAACACTTAGTATAATGTTCTCCAGGGTGTCCACATTGCTGCAAATGACATATTTCCCTCTTTTTAAAGGCTGGATAATATTCCTTTGCTGAACTAGCCCACATTTTCTTTATTCATCCATGCACTGATGGCCAATGACACTTTCCATATGGTGGCTGCATGAATGCTGCTTCAAACAAAATGGGAGTGCAAATGTCTCTGTGACATACAGATTTCAATTTTCTGGATATACATCCAGAGGTGGGACAGCTGGATCATGCAGTGGGTCTAGGTACAGCTTTTTGCAGAACCTCCACACTGCTTTCCACAACTGCTGTCCCAATTTACGTTCCCAGTAATGTACTAGGGCTCCCCTTCCTCTGCTTCCTTGCCAACACTCGTTACCTTTCATCTTTTGGATAACTGCAAACATAACAGGTATGAAGTGATAACTCACTGTGGTTTTAATTCTAATTTCCTTAATGATTAGTGACACTGAGCATTTTTTCATAAATGTGTTGCTCATCTTTTTTGAGAAATGTATGTTCCAGTCAATTTGTTCTCTTTCTAGCCCGTAACTCTAGATGGTCTTGCATATCTGGTATGTTGTATTCTGCACTCCAAGGATGCTCACAATTATGTTCTGGACATATGCTCTAGATTATGTGAGGATAATGCTCACATGGGTTTTTATTAAGCTTTCCACAGAGAAATGACTACTCCTTCTGATTCCCTTTTAATATAATGGAACTTAACAAGACATAACAGACCAATTTTTTAATTCACTCAGCTCCTTTTCTGTGCTGTTCAGCTGATATGGGTCCCTATTTCAAGGCCTTAACCCACTTTTCCTGTGCCTACTTTGGCAGTCCATTCCACCTTAGCAAATGGCAGGGCAGGAACATGATATGATGTCCCTCTCGTGGGCTCTTCCTCATTGCAGACCTGGCACCCAGCAACATTCCAGTATCATTTTCTGATCTCATTTTGCCACTTAATTTAAATATTTTGAATAGGAGGTACTGTACTAAGAACATTAACAATTCAGGGTATGTCCTATCTTGAACTAGATAAATGTCTGCCAGACCTACTGTTCTTCAGACCTTTAATTTAGTCAAGAAACCAGACTGACACTAAATCATGCTTCTCAGTTTTCCAAAATACATATGGATGCTCTTGGATTAGATTGTCTTTTGTTAGTATGCAACAAAGAAAAGCATCTTTTTAATATCGGAAAAAACAGAAAATACAGTAAGATGATGAGGGAACTGGCAGGCCACAAAAGTAGTCTCCAAGTTATTCTGAGGTCAGGTCTCTCATCATTCCCCCTTCTGGGCAAAAGTTTTCAGACTTATGAAATGGATGCACTTTCAAAACACTCAAACGTAAACTCAGTAAGGTTTGGATATGAAGCATCACAACCAATACAACTAAGCTACTAAGAATATTTCCAAATGGACAGAATCTTATACAACAGTTCACAGGTTGAAACAATATCCATACCGATGCTTCTTTTTGTACCCAAATACCAGAGGGCCATTTTTTATGCACTGAAGTCTCTGAGGTCAATAAAAATAAAGCCCAACACAGCCACCTATGTCTAAATGCTAAGCCCGTCCCTCAGAAAGTCCCAGACAAAGCCTGCCTAGACTAAGACAGATATAATCTGGCATTTCCTTTACTGCAGCTGATGTTCTCAACTACACTGCTGTGAATACCACATAAGCTATTGACACCTTGTTCATAGTTTCAATGGAGAATCAAATAAAAAAATTCAAGAAAGCCACACAGTGTGAACAAATATTACTTTTCTGAAAAACACATGGCTCTGTTTAATGCTTAGTGCTCAGCTGCATCTATATGGTAATCCATTACAGCACACTTGAAATCAAAATTAGGTATTACTACTGATCAGCACATCAGGGACTCTGTCATTCTTTTAACTGATTATCCATAGCCTTTTTTTCTTCAGAATCTACTGCATGACCAGGAATAATGTGAAATATAAGCTGGAGTTTATACAAGATGGGACAGTATACTTTAAAACTGCTAGTTTTCATTTAATTTGTGTGGGATACACTTTTTTCCAAATTATTACTAAATGATGCAAC